GTTAACAAGATAAAAATAGCTCGACTAGGTGATTACAAGGTCTACAGTGTTGGTTAGACCGTTGCGGTATCGCTCCACGTATCAATCAAGACAAAAAAGAAGGGGATGAGTCCAACAGCCACAGTATGGACATAGTCGCCTGAACAAAGCAAAGTTGATCGTAGAGATGAAGACCGAGATATTGTGGCCTCTGTTCTAGTCACAGTCTTCTTTCGCTGTAGAGAAGAGGTTTCAGCTCGTTTTCGCAATTTGGTCGTGGTGTCAGGGCTACCTATTTGCACGCAACCGGTCCATAGTCCTCTGCTATAGTAGCTATAGTGATTAACATCATCGAACCGTGGATTCGAAACATTGCAAGAAGTTTTTCCCGGCATTCAAAGTAAGTCTTGCCATTTCTAGCTCAAAGAGACAAGTTAAATAAATCCTTTGACCAAATTTCTACCCTGACAACACGACCAAGTTACGAAAACGAGGTCAGACCATTTCCATATAGCAAAGTTAAGTCAAGTAGAAAAGGATAACCTTATAAAGAGTCAGGTGAGACGAGAGCTCGTGAATTAGCCGGTCGACAGGAGTGCCTTGGGACAGACTCGCACCCGCCACCTTCTGATTGGCAGAAGACCTGGACTATCCTCTTGCTTGTTGAGCCTACTTCCATTTCGAGTAGAAGTGTTCGACGAAGATATCCGAAGGTCGAGCCCAACAGAAGACGACGGCGGATTGCTTTTGACCAAATGCCGATTAGCTTTACTGGTACATCCTTGATGACGCTGTTTCCGAGGTGATCGTCCTCGATTCCGGTGAAAACGTGCTAAACTTTCGTCCGTCGTTTTGCGAATATCATCAGAGCAGGACATCGTCTTTATAACCACATTCAAGCTAAGGACTTGTTCTGTTGTGCTCGACTTTCGGATATCTTCACCGAACACTTTTACTCGAAATGGAACTAAGCTCGACAATTATGAAACAAGAGAGTCACCGAAACCCAACTTTTTTTCGCATTTCCCCTTACTCTCAACACACTCAGGCGTAGACGCCGGCAGACGTCGACCAAATTACACTAAATGGGTGAGGCCGAGGAAAAGGCCCAATGTTACCCTGGCGACGATAGGGCCTAGGGCATGTCCCTCTCTCTTTATCTCTCTCATCATGCATACAGATTGAGAAACCGTTGCCGCCCCAACCACCGAGGTCTAGCGCCAACCTGCCACCGACCCGGCGGAACACCGCTTGTCCCGGCTATAGAGCAAACCCTCCTGTACCCATTGGCACAGCAAGTGACCAAGCCTATCGCTACGTGTGGCGACGATCCAAGCTGGAGGACAGGGAGGACATGGTGGCGCTGGCTTGGGGGCAAACAGAGTGTCTCCGTCAGGAACGGAGGGCCAGAGTTACTGACAGAGCAGTTTCGGTTTCGCCCACGTACACACATGCAGGTTGGAATGACTGACGACTGGTCTGCGAAACGACCAAGAGATAGGATAGGGATATATATACACACATACATACATGCATACACACACGCATATGACAACTAGGTATACAAAAGAGGGATTAGGGCGTCACTTCGCTTGGCCGGACGGCACCGCATCTGATGAGTAGGCAACTCGTGTCCTGGACCGAATGACAGTCTCATCCAAGACTTTGCTTGAGCCAAAGGGTCGACAGGTCAGGTGAAGCCTGGCGACGGTAGTCGACATGTCTAAGGGTGGGTAAACAAGCCAATCTGATGCGAAAAGACGCTCAGTTACCGAACACCAGACGGTTTGACTGCACAGTTCGGGTCAATCGGTTGTCGGCTGCTGGTTGACGGTCTGTCTGGTTGATATGCCGCGGTGGCAAGCGAGATTCGTGGCACAATCGGGTGGAATCACAAATCTCGAGGCGACGCCAAAATCTCGCATACCGGCCGGTCTGTCTGCACCTGATTGTGCAGACGGAGGCCTACTCACTCGAATGCACATCCGTTGGCACGAGCCAGCCGGCAAGTCATTCAGCACCTTCACAACTCCACGAAAACCTGCCTGCCTGCATGCAGGCATAGTTACATAATCACAAATATTCATTCACACAGATAGGCAAGTGTGAAAATCCGACCCCCGACGAGCATTTTAGACACCGAGAAGGCCTAGAAATGCACAGGAATGTGCAGGTGTGCACGTAGAGATGTGCACAAATATCGACTGGGACAGTTGCCCTCGAGATAGCATCTTCAGGGTAGACCTCCCTTCAGCCAAATACATGCTTTACACCCTCTCTATTACGGCATCGGCATCGGCAAACGAGCAGCATGTGCTTGGAACAGTCTCGGCAATCGGACTGGAGGCTCCGCTTCAACGCGTTTCTACATCGTCAAGTCTGCCAAGAGGGACACACCAATGCAACACTTGTGCTGAATCGAGCCACAAGCCTAAGCACAGACCTGGTCAGTGCAACTCTCATGAGAAGTCACTTTGAGGAATGCTCGGTCCCTCTCCCCAGATCAGATTGCTACAGCAATCCTCGAATTGACATGGCAATATGTGTCGGGTCGGCCTGTCGACCCATGCCTGGGAGGCTATTTGAACATGAAACAGTCCACAAAGGCTTGCAAATCAAAGTGAGAATTGGCTGAATACATGACCAAACAGAGAACACTCAAGAGGTGAGCATCAAGCAGGAAATACAGATTTGATGCAAAAGGGGTAGATTAGGCAAAGAAAATAGACAAATGATGTGTAGAAAAACTGGGTTTTAAAGAATCCCCTAATGCAGTGACTCCCGGGGAGCCGGGAAATATTACAAAAGTTCAATTTGAGGAAATGTGTAGTAATTTGCAGGCTCATCCATCACATGAATTATTAACTATTAAT